ATCCACTCGATAGGGAACAATCAAACAAGAACATCACAATCAGGCATTAAACCGAGAGTTTTCAAGCTATCCAAATTAGACTACATAGAACCCAAGCTATCACTACCACGTAACCATATAACATAAAATACATAGAAAATATTGGTATATACATACTCTTATTAACTATTATTCCCTAGTTCTCGTCCATTGACCACTTCTCAATTAAGTCCTTCGCTAGTCAATCATACATAATCCTGATAAATTGTCTACCCCAGTTACCTTAACCAAACATAACCCCTAACAATATCATACGATCAACAAGCAAGACCCTACCAGTCTAGCATACAATGACACTAAGTGTCCCATACTGCACATATACTAAGAAGTCATCTCAGCCACTAACATACTTGTACTCTAACAACATCTTTATCTTATCATGCAAAGGACATATAATGGCATATGTGGCATAATGAAAAACTCACCTAAACTAATGAATTGATGAACTGAAGAAGAACATCAACACTCTCACACTTGTAATGCTCAATCCCGTGAATCGACTAATCACCAAAGAAATGAATCCTCAATTAACAACCTAAATCCTCAAAATTTGACCCCAAGTCAAACTGGTCAAAAGTCAACGGTCAACGTCGCGAAGTGGGCCCTTTTTGGCCACGTCGTGGGAACACAAGGTCAAACAATCAACATGCAGAACATTGTCATGTCGTGGGCCCTCCTTCGACACGTCGTGGCAATGCCAAGACAAAACGGTCACAATGACGGGTTTTATCACGTCGTGACCATTCCTTGGTCATGTCATGACAACTGCCAAGAGTTACATTTTTTACATTAAGGACTTAATTCATTAATTCCTTTACTCCAACTTTCTAGAAGGCTTCATTACTTTCTAAAGAACCATAAAAATCCTTACTTTATGGACATGCATGTCCAATGTATGTCCTTCCCCAAAACTAGGTCACATGGTGAAAATGGAGTCAAAACTCCATGCATTGCACCAAACAGCATGAGAATCTAAATCTGGAGCATATGATAACCAATGGGCTTCAATGAGTGATAAATTTGCCAACTTTATCCAAACCAACCAAGCATAATCACAAATCATGAAGGAAAAGGCTCAAAACTTAGATCGACAAGGGATGAATCAAAAAGATGGGAACTTGGAGACTTACTCAAGTCTAGAAGGTGCATCAATAGATGTAGACAAGCTTGTTAGCCGATCATTTGCTCAACAAAGTCCTCCTTCAACCTTCTAGATACCAAAACTCCATTACAGAGCTCAAAAGGCAAGTGAAGGGGCTAGGTTTTCCTTGAGAGATGTTGGAGGCGGAAAAAGGTGCCCTAGGTCATGAACTAATGGCTTTAAATATGGAACAAACCCTAAAATCATGGGCTTGGGCTGCAGTTTTTTGTCATGTCGTGACCATCCTTTCGTCACGTCATGACAGGCATCCCAGATTCGCATTCTTCATTTGAGACGCCACGTCGTGACACCCTTAATGTCACGTTGTGGCATATGGTTTAACTCAAAAACCATGCCTTTGACTCATTTATACCTTCTCCTGGTGGCATATGGTTTTCCTAAAAAATCATGCATTTGACTCATTTATATCATGTCTTTCACTCCTTTATACAATCCCCTGTTGTTCCAATCTGGAAAACGGGTGTTACACACATTCTCTCATAAGAAAGTTAAATGTAATATATTTTTATTAGATTAGTGTAATGTATGTATGGAGTATTAAATATTAAATGCATCATATTCTTTAAAATTGGTGTTAATTTTTTGTTACAGTCTAATGTGTTATTCAATCATATGATACAGTTGCTGCTAATTTGTTTTTAGAATTAATTATTTTTTTAAATCACATTCTTTCAAGTATGGTGTTAAATGTTATATTGTTTTATAATATTAATTTAATGCAAGTAATTACTTAATAACATGTAATATGAAGTGTATTGTTTAAGAATGACACTACCTTTTATATTTACTATGTTTGTTCAATAATCATAGGTTACTGTTGTGAATCTGATCTCTTGCTAGCACAAATTATTGACACTAATGAAAATGTAAAGCCAAAAATCAAAGACAAAATTGATTCTTATAACGTAGTTGTACAAATGTACAAAACTTATGCATTAGAAGTATGATTTGATATTGGGCTTGGAAGAAATAAGAAAGAAGATTGATGATATCTTTACTACTAGATACTTACTATGCAATAGATAAAAAAAAGCCTAACAGCGGTATACGTTGATACTATCGGATCGCGACAGATTATGTATTTCACATCATCTTGAATATATTATTCTAAAATAAAATTGTCTCGGATTTTACCAATTTAAACATATTGATAAAAGCTTTTAACAATGAAACTTTTTTCAAGTGATACATAAATTTATAGTATATATTTTTGGTAAACGAATCAATAAAATAAAAAAAATGATGGGGCTGAAAATTACTTAATGAGGTTGGAAAATGACTTAATAAGGTTGGAAAATAAATTAACGGGGCTGAAAATGGCTTAATTGGTTAAAAAATGACTTAATGCGGTTGGAAACAACTTGATGGGTTTGAAAATGAATTAATGGGGTTGGAAACAACTCAATGGGCTCCAAATAATTTAATGAGGCGGGACACCGACTTGGAAACTGAAACCGACCCTGGCGCCTAAATTGGGTTAGTCTGTAACGGTCTAGTTCTTGGTTCTTCATTTAAGCTTCAATTGGTTGTGGTTTCTTTCGGCGTCGAGTCGGATCTAGACGCGTGGTACCCAAATGTCACACATCAGTTTTCCATCTCCTTTCATTTTCATCTTCCATCTCACAACCCATGAAAATCATAAACAACAATTAAAATTCTAAGACAATAATAAAAATCCTAAACGATAATTAAAAACCTAAAATGAAATGCTACATCTCCAAACCATAAATCATTGCAACTTGAGGCCTCTTGGCTAGCATTGCACTCAACATTGCTCGAGCATGCGGTTGAAGGAAGAACTTCATATTTATTTTCCTTTCGTTTTTCCCTGAGCGTCCGTATCTCCTCCACTAAGAGTGTCATTTTCTACAATTTTTCCTCTCGTGTTTCTTTCTCTCATCGGCATATACTTTGTTCAGATGGGCAAGGCCAACGATTTGGTGACAATATCTGTTATTTTGGGAGGCTCTGAGGATGACGATGTCGATGTCGAATTCTTCCCTTTTCTTGCCTCCATGGCGGTGTGTCAATAGGAATTTGAGAGATTAGAATGAAATAGGAGAAAGTTGGAATTATATTAGAAAAATGTGTGGTTTTTGAAATGGTTGGGTAGTTTGTAAGAAGAAAAAAAATGAGTGTGTTGGTCAATAGTCTTAAGAAAGGGTAGAGAAAGAGAGACGGCTGACAATGGTTTAGGTAACCCTGTAATCTTCCATTTTTGCAGTACCATGGGTACAAAGTGGTGTAGCCTCCCGTACCGCCTTGAACCAACCCTCATAAATCGTCGGGAAAATGACCTTTGAGGGTAACTAACCGTTGCGTTTGTTCTCATTTGGTCCTTTTTTTTGTACTCAATATACCATTGAACTTGTTGTTTGTGTTCACCATAACCCTTTTGACCGCCTTTTGACCGGCTATCACCTGTGATAGTCGGTCAAAGGGTTATGGTGAACACAAACAACAAGTTCGATGGTATATTGAGTACAAAAAAAAAGGAAATGGACCAAATGAGGACAAACTCAACAGTTGGTTACCCTCCTGAGTCATTTTCCCTTTACTCATTTACAGAAAATCTCATGTCATCTCCTGCTTATATTAATGACTTTATGAGATTCATTTTTGCTTCTCTTCAAAACATAAACCACGAAAGAACATTATTCATACATGTACAACTTTGTAATGCACTTGAATATTTATTAGGGGAATCTTAACTAATCAGGTGCATTTCATGACTACATTTGCATTTCCAATCAAATGATTTATCGTATCATGGATTCTGGACAAGTCTACAAACGAGTGGAATCACAAGTGCTGTGATTTTTGAGTTTACTTGACTTTAAGATCGAATTCATGGGAGAGGATACAACATTAATATGTACAAGATCATGCAGTTTTTGCAGACACATCACCATAATATACCTTGAGGTAAACGTTTATGTTGATAAATATACCTCTCATACACAGTCATATCCTTTTGCTGAGAGGTGTTGACAGTTAACCACAGTAACCATAACATAGACCATGTTTTAACGAAGCTACCCCTCCGAAACGCTCTTCATGTACGTTATGGCCAAAGAAGGTTGCGGTCTTTGATACTTTTGTCACTTTAATTTTATTTAACTTTTTTGGTGAAAATGACTCAGGAGGGTAACCAACTGTTGAGTTTGTTCTTATTTGGTCCTTTTTTTTGTACTCAATATACCATCGAACTTGTTGTTTGTGTTCACCATAACCCTTTAACCGGCTATCACAGGTGATAGCCGGTCAAAAGGGTTATGGTGAACACAAACAAAAAGTTCGATGGAATATTGAGTACAAAAAAAAGGGACCAAATGAAAACAAACGCAACAGTTAGTTACTCTCAAATGTCATTTTTCCTAAATCGTCAACTCAAGCACCATTTCAACATAATTTAAAAATGCTTTATTCTTACAAAGCTTTTCTTGACAGAATATAAAACCATAATAGCAAAAAAAAACCAAAAAAAAAAAAAAAAAACTCTTTCGAAAACAAGGTTCTCCCTTTTAACTCTTGCAATATTCTAATATTCTAATAGAAATAAAATAAAAATAGTGATAATATCTTATCTTGGCTCAGTTATTGCATAGTGTTCGTTTTATAAGAAAGGAAAAATATATAGTATCGCTTAGAAGAAATGAGGCAGAATAAAAACTTAATATGTGAATTCTGAACTTAGTTTCAAACTTTCAACATAACCCAATCCATGATTTAAAGTTGTAAAGCATTACAATTACTTGAAACAAAAATACACTCAAACACATCACATATTGATTCTTACTTAATTTAGAAATCTTAGAGGGCTAGGGTTGACAGTAGCATATGATAAAACCTCTGGATCACACTCGAAAATCTCCATTTCTTCCGAACTCAACGAGACTACAGCTTCCACACCACCACCCTTCTTCACTTCATTCAAAGAGACAATCCTCGAGCATCCAGGATTCATATGATAGAACCATATCGGCTTTCCCCATCCGAAATCCATCTCATAGATTCCAGTATTCAACAAGCTGGTAGCAAAAAGGCAGTTTTCTTCGTTCATCACTTCGATCAAATCGTTTATTATCTTCTGAAAACCAATGAATGTCTCGTGCCCCTTTTCACGTTTTAAAGATTCAACGTAACCTGAATCCAGTTTGGATATGGATTTTCTCACTTCATCGATCATGGTCGCCAGATCCGGTTGTTTGTTCGGAAAGCAGATCGCATTCCCTGCACTGATAACGTTTCCGATCAACTCAGTCGGCAATGGCGGCGAAGCCCTTTTCCGTAGATTCACGAATGTGAACAAAGCGTGAGGTGAATCCGGGCTAAATCGTCGAACAGTGGAGGCGGCTTTGGCAGCAGCCTTCCACACGACGGCGGCCGTGACCTCTGTGCGAGTTGGCCCACGTAACGCCGGTGAAACAGGTTGCGCCTTGAGGGAAGCCAACGCCATGGAATCAAACACGAACCGTTTTGTACAAGGTAATTTCGTATTCCATAACTTGGAAGGCCATTGTTTTATGAATGGGTTATTCGGGAAGATGTCAGAGGCCACAAGACATGGTGGAATTATCTGCGATGAACCTGATCTGGCGGCTGTAGCCCATGCTTTCATGAACGTGAAATACGTAGTTCCATCGAAGATCTTGTGTGATAAGCTCGTGCAAAGACCAATCCCACCACAATTGAAAACATTCACCTGAACACTTATAACAAAGTTCCCTAATGAAGATTCGGTTGTGATACTCGGGTGTTTTGGAATCAATTCTTTCAGTTTCTGATCATCAGGTTGATGGAGGAATTCTTGGAGAGTTTGATTGACTCGGGCTTCAACGAAATAGACACCTTTATCGTTACAATCAATGCTAAATATGTCCACGATTTCACCAGCAAAAGGATAGTATTGTGTTAGAAGCTCAGATAACGATTCCTTCAGACGCCCTGATCTTGTTGCTATGACGTCTGAAACAGAAGTGTTGTCAGTGTTGGGAAGAAATAGGATCGTAGGGGTGTTGGAATCGAAAAACATTTGATCGATAATGGATAAATTGAATGTTCTTAAATGATTTGGAGTTGGATAAGCTGGTTTTATGCTTCCTATTGAGATTATCTCAAGATCGACTCTTTTGGTAATATTGTTTTCATCATCAAACCTGCATGAGGAGTCATGAGTAGTATAATGGTGACGGAAGGTTGAAGATGAAAGAGTGGACATGGATGGGTTTGGTGTATGTGAGAAGCGAGAATGGAGTAAGTATTGTGGTGCAGAGATGGTCCTCTTCAAGTACGATCTCATCATCATCATGTTGATTCACTTGATGATACAAAATATGAAAAATCTCCACGGTTTTGGGTATAAGGATAATCTATGTCCAACTTCATTCTTAATATAAAGGCTGCACATCCATGAATAGACTACGTAAGATCGGGACAACTTAATGTTCAGTACGTTATGGTACACTTGTACTTTGTGTATATTACATAATTCATATATTAACATTCTTTGTTAATAATTAATAAGAGTAAATTACTAAAATTGTCCCTATAGTTTGGTCAAAATTGCACGTTTGTTCCCTAAGTTTTCTTTTGCACTCGGATCGTCTCTATGGTTTGATTTTGTTGCGTTTTTCGTCCCTTATATACATAAAGTTAGGGACCAAACGTACAATTTTAACAAAACCATAGGGACGTTTTCAGTAATTTACTCAATTAATAAATAAGGACAACACAACATATTATTTTATTAAAATACTTTCTAATAAATTGTTTTGTTTAATAACCTCTAAAGGTTTGGATATATTGGAATAGGAACCGGAACCAATTGGAAACCAAATATGTAATCCGGTCCGGTTCCAAAACTGAGCTCTCCCCCTCTTGTATGCTAGAGCTTCAAAGACAAATAAGATTTTGATAGGTTGCTTATAAATTTACAAAGTATGGTTGACCGAACAAACAAATAAAATTTCTTGTTCATGTTTCTTTAACAAGGCACGCTTGTTTTTGTGGGTTTATTTATGTGTGTTAAATGAACATAAACACACATAAAAAAATAAGATAAACAAATGTAAATGAACATACACATTCAAATTAAATCGTCAACACTTCTAATATATATGTTGAACATTCTTAGTAATGCCACTTTTGATATTTTTACGAAATCTAAAACTTGTAAAACTTAAATCACTCTTAAAAGTTTCTCTTTTGCTTTCACCGATTATATATATATAGATATATATATATATATATATATATATATATATATATATATATATATATATATATATATACATACATTAAAAATAAGATAAACAAATGTAAATGAACATACACATTCAAATTAAATCGTCAACACTTCTAATATATATGTTGAGCATTCTTAGTAATGTCACTTTTGATATCTTTACGAAATCTAAAACTTGTAAAACTTAAGTCACTCTTAAAAGTTTCACTTTTGCTTTCATTCTTAGTAATGCCACTTTTGATATTTTTACGAAATCTAAAACTTGTAAAACTTAAATCACTCTTTAAAGTTTCACAATTTTTTTGAATTTTTTATGTAGACATCACAAAACTTTTTTTTGAATTTTTTATCAAAAAATAGCAGCCTTTTTTACAATTTCGCTGAAAAAAAAAATCAATTTTTTTTTTGTAAAAAATTTTTTTTTTTCAAAAATTTTTTTAGCGATTTTATGTTAAAAGATGTGATTTTTTGATAAAAAAATTCAAAAAAAAGTTTTGTGATCTCTAAGTATTTTTTTATGCATTATATATATATATATATATATATATATATATATATATATATATATATATATATATATATATATATATATCAAACATAAATATTTTATACTTATTTATTAAATAAACAAATACGAATGAAGTTTCCATCAAACGAGTTCATTGAATTTTTTTATTCGTTTACTGTACTATAAAAACTTATAGTCGAAGAAGGTGTGACACTATGCAAATTGTTTTTCAAATGCTTTTACGAAATAATATATAAATATAAATAAATAACATGGATGATGTTGAGCTCTATTAGTCCACAAATAAAACAAATATAATTTTATTAAAAAAATATGCTTTCTTTAGGAAAGATTCCCATAACAGACACTGCAATTTTGTTAAAAAAATAAAAATAAAAAAGTAACATTTGGCTTGAACTACCTGGACTGGTTTGGGTGGGCATCTTTTCTCTGGTTATGGTCCTTTATGGTTTGGGTAATCTGAGTGGTTGGTCCCTAAGAAGATTTTTTAACTTGTAAGGTCCCTATTCTTTATTTTTGTTGCGTGTATAGTCCCTCATTAACCTAAAATGACTTTTTTTTACCCTTATTAATTTCTTATGTGTTTACATATCATTTATTTTATTTATAATAATAAAACCCACCACCATACGAGGCTATCCAAACCTACCTTATTCTTCTATACATTCTATTTGTATCTCATCTCAACCAAGAAGAAAAGAACCCTAAATTGTTGCAGTTGCCTTGGATGTTTCTGGAGAACGAAGAGCACAATTTTCTCTCTTTTTCTTAACTCTGCACCATCAAGCTTCTCTCATATCGTCTCTATTTTTGAACTCTGGTAAACACCCTAACCCCTGCAATCTCAAAATGTTAGTGTCGGAGATCTAAGTTTGTCTGATGCGGTGGATCACAAGATGTTGGTGCTGCTGGAGATCCAAATCGATAAAGGGAAGTAGAAAGACTATCATTTTCTCCGATCTGCAATCGATATGAACAATTTCGTATTCTCAAATCTACAATCGTGTGATGGTAGAGGTTATTTGTCTCTGCTATAGGTGTCGTATTTAGGGTGGTGGTGGTATACGCTCCGATCTTGTCTCACCACCAAAATGTGTCAGCAACCTCATGAATTAGATTTTGATTTTCATCTTGATTTTGATTTTTATCTTCATTATTTGATTTGGTTTTGATTATCATAAAGTCTAGTTTCAATTAACATTAGTTTTGGTTTTCATTTCCTTCGGGTTTGCTTTTGACTTTCATATGTTTGACTTTAACATTCATCAATGTTGTCAGAGATGAAATGGATGGGGTATCATTGGGTCTTCTATCATAGAGGGAAGAAGATGAGTTGGTTGGGTTGGTTTGATACATGCCTTTTTTCCGGTGGGAGATGAGTAATAGAGGTTTCCAGAGGAGCTGGGGAGGTTGACGGCGGCTTTGTCTAGTACTTTTACGTATTTCATTAATTTGAGAGAGAGGGAGAACGGTGGGGTAGGAATGAACCAGTGAATACATGGTGGGGTGGGTATTTTTTATTTTAGAATTATAAATAAGAAATAAATTAATTAATCAAGAAAATAATAAGGGTAAAAAAAGTCATTGCAGGTCGAACAGGGACTAAAGACGCAACAAAAACGAACAATAGGGACCTTCCGAATTAAAAAATCTACTTAGAGACTAACCACGCAGATTATCCCAAACCATAGGGACCGTTCATGTAATTTACCCATTTTTTTATTGGTGGATTTATTTAATATTATTATATAAAGAAATTCGTAAAAATATTTTAAAATTTTAAAGAATCTAATTCTAAATTAATTTTCCTTAAAAAAAGTCAGAAATATATTGGCAGATTTGGTCCATAGACTTTTTAACATTGGCAATTTTATCTCCTTTATTTTGTAGAACGACACTTTCCACCTCCTTACTTTATAGAATGACATTTTTCATCTCATTTACTTTATAAAATGTCACTTTTTTCCAACTCAAATTTGAACAATGACAGTTTTCACCCCTTCAACTTTTGTATATTACCATGTTTGCAGGTTTGGTCTCTATACTTTCGTATGTCAACAAGTCCCCCCCCCCCAACGGAAACCGTGCACACAAAACAATAAAATGATGAATAATAGTATTTTCTTTTTGTATGAGTAGAATAGCGTAAGCAAAAACCTGTCTACATCCCCCGCGAAGTTGGAAATGGGCAATTTCTAGTATGGTAATAAATATCAAATATTCAGATTTTATTTTTGATAAAAAAAAGTAAAAAAATACAAGATGAGCATTTGACTTGGTGAAACCGAACCGAATCGGAAAATAATCAGACTCGGAACTGGGGCATTCGTTCTGGTTCTTGATTCTCCATTTTTCACTAAATCGTTTCCAGTTCTTCGGTTCTCGGTTTTGTTCTGACCGATCTGGAACTGAACATATCCGTAAAGAGCACACTTCCTTGTAGAACTAACCGGAACTGGAACCAGAACCAAGGTATATGGTCTGGTTCCCGTTTCTTCATTTCTTACTAAATTGGTTCCCGGTTCTTCGATACTCGGTACGGGTCCAGATCGATGTTCATCCCTAATATATATATATATATATATATATATATATATATATATATATATATATATATATATATATATATATATATATTAAAGTTTTTTCTACAAATAAATATCAAAAATGATATTACATTGTTTTTCGTTTAACTATAAAAAAAATAAAAATAAAAATAAAGAAAAAGAAAAAGAAAAAAAAGAAATACACGAAAAAAACCCAACCTATTATACTCTAATATGTCAAAAAAAAACCCTTCCATTTATTTTTTGTTCAGCAAAAACCCAACCTATTTCATTTTACCGTTTAAAAAAACCAAATAGCAGGTTTTCATATAAATTGACCGACTAATTATTTGACGTGTCAAAAAAATATTTATTAAAATATTTAATGAGATGGATATTTTTTTACCATACGTCAATTACTTAAAGGGCAAAACAAACTAGGGTTATCATTTGTGAAGCATCATCAGAGGAATTCGAAGATGTGGGTTCGTCATAGTGAAACACAAGCCAACAAATGCAGGGAAATTTGTAGGGTCGACATTCTTGATCTTGGTTGTAACGACCCAAAAATCAAGTGTAAAAAATTCATTTTTATTATAGTTAAAACACAGATACCATTTAATCCAAACATTCCAAAAACGTTGCTAATTAAAAACATTTATCAGAGTTCATCCCAAAATCACATATTGCAGAAAATATGGGTGTGTGCGCTGCGATCAAGCCGAGCTCTTCCTTTCCAAACCGATGATACCAGAAACCATAAGCAAAACTGTAAGCACGAAGCTTAGTGAGTTCCCCATAACATACCCCACACAATCCATATAATCAGATAAACCATATCAATCACATAAGCCATGCATATAAACATATAGGGATACTGTGAAAACCCTCCAAGGTCTTACTCCGGGTGCCATGGGAACCCCCACATGGTCTTAGCCCATTGCCATGGGAACCCCCACATGGTCTTAGCCTGGAATGCCATGGGAACC